CATATTGTCTTCTTTAGCAATTGTATTCCTCATTTTAAAAATTATATTACTTCTTTGGATAATATTGAGCAATGCGCTTAGCTTCTCCAAAATATAAGCATTAATCCTTTTGACAACATCAAGTCTTTTCTTATTTAGTGAGAGATTTAAAACATATAGTATCAATTTACATTAGTTCCAACATGGATAAATAAGTTTTCAAAAACTTAGAAGATGCTATCATTACTTAGCTTATTCTTCTTTAACCAAGTCTTTACTCTTGACACCTTTAAAATTTTTCAATTGTTGCATGCAATGGCTTAAGTAATAAATTGTTATAAAGATTTTACTTTTGGCATTGTCAATGATAAAACTTTGACATTATCCTTCAATCTATATTGAAATTGATTAATAAGAGTTTTCTCATTCCAATCTACATTGTAAGTAAGGTTTTGGAATTCAACAATATATATGGTAGCTAATTGTGATTCTTATTGTAAAGATAAGAACTTGGTCTTTGCTATTCTTTCATGATTACTTTCTTTGAATGTAGCAATAAACATTTTTATGAATGAATTCAAATCATAAAAGAGTCATGAATCCTTTTTTATTAATAATAAAAACCAATAGAGAGAGCTTCTAAATAAAAGTGCACCTATGAATCTAACTTGAGTAAATCCATCAAGATATTAGAAAAAATACAATTCTATCTAAGTTTGACTTGTTGCAAAAATCTTAAAATTTTTGATGTCATTCCATCAAACTTATCAAACATATTAATCGTCTCTCCTTTGTATTTGTAAAAGCAAAACTTCTTGGATTTGGTTGTAAGGTAGATCTACTTGCTTCTTTCAATTGTACAATTTTTTGTTGTAAATTTTGAACTTCTTCCACAGGCATAGGATTAGTATTTCCATAGTTTGTACTAGTGATGCATGAAATTTCTATTCTAAGAGTGTTAATAAGTACGTAAAGATTTGAAATAGTTAAATTTTATTTTCACTTTCATCAAATGTAGCATCCATAATTTTTTCTTCTATTTCAAATAACTTAATAAATCCAAAAATCAAATTAAAAGAAGGTAATCTGCAACCTCTAATATCAAATAAAAAATTTCACAAAGAAGGATAATCTACTCTCTTTAAGAAAAAAAAATTGATGTTAGAAAATTAAACGGTTTATTTAAAGATAGGTAATCTACAATCTTTAAAATATAATAATAGAATTGGAATAATTTACTCACTTCTAAAACAAAATAAGAACTATAAGTTAGCACTCTTATCAAACTGTCAAAGATTTAAATCTCAAAGAATTAAAATGTCATTACACACTTATGTAACTCAAAAAGACTAGAAAATCACTCAAAGATGATATAGTATCAAACTAGAATGGCTATTGCCAAAGATAAGAAGATTAGAAAGTCTTAAAATAAAACTAAGGACTAAAAAGGCATTGATAAGAGTGAAGAAGGCTTCACTCTTACTTCTATATATACTCTTAACTAAGAAATATGTGGCAGTGTCCTATAGGACCTCCAAAATATATTGACTTTGCATGAGATGTATCTTAACTTATAAAGCAAGTTTTATATATGTGTGCCATATAATTAGCTTGTTTCATAAGCTACCAATATGTAGTAAACTTGTTCACCAAGTTTGTAACCTATCAATCAATAGATATTTGCATTGATAGGTTATAAACTTAGTCAACAAGTTAACAACTTGAATTCTACATTAACAGTGAGGTATGATTACTTTGTCAAAATATGAAAATTATTTATTCTTATGATAAATTTGATTACCATAGACTTAAACTATTTCATATTTATAATATAATAAATCTACTTGCATATCAATATATCCTATTAGAGTTTATAAAGATTTATTATATGTTAATATTAAAATATGTTAGAATATTTTGTACATTGTCACAATTATAATGTTAATGAATACACATGAATGCCATCAAAAAATCTTGTATATATATAATAGAAGATTGATATTTTTTATTTATAACATTCATCAAAATAAAAATAAAAAATAAAAATAATCTATTATTTGTTGAATTTTTGGACAAGCCATTGAGATTGTTTAAACATTGAAGGCAATGTAATAGATATAAAGACCTTCACAAAAGACACATTCTTTGTAGAATAGGTGGTAAGATACAATGTATTTGGTATTGTGATATTAGAAGAGACATTTAATGTTTGGTAATATTATTAGACATAAGAACCATTCTTCATAGTATTTCACTAGTTTTATTAAAAGAAAATATTTGAAGGCTTCAACAATGATAAAATAGCAATGTATTGTATATTTTCTTTAATTTGAAATATTATCAATGGTTGAAAAGACTTGTTAACTACATTTATTGGAAAAAAATATAAAAATATGTAATAAATATAATTTGTTGTATCTTGGACTTTTTCAACATGTATTTATTACTTGTTGTAGAACTTCTCTATAGAAAGAGGGATAATTTCAATAACATACATATCTATACTTATAATTATTAAAATAAGTAAAATTAGGTAAAAATAAATAAAATTAAGTAAATTTTATATATCTTAAGGAGAAGTTTTTTAGAAGTTATATAGACATGGATTTAATTTTACAAGTTTTTATTGGTGATTAATAGTTAAAAAACTTGGTCAATAGGGTTGTCTTTTTTTTTTTTTTTTTTTTTTTTTTTTACAACTTAGGCACATGTCTGATATGTTGACTACTTTTGGTATAAATTGGCCATGTAGTGCACATAATAAAAACTTATCTGATAAGTTAAACATGTATCTTATAATTTTGTTACTTTACTTATAATTTGTAAAAAAACCATATATATATACATATATTATGATAATATATAAATTTTTACAATTACAAATTATAAATACTAAACAACATATTTTTTAAATTTTGTAATAAAGCACTATGTATTACCTAACATTGTGGTGACTTGAAATACAAACTTGAAATTATCTTTTTAGATATATTGATTTTTTAAAAAGACATAATTTCATCACATTTTTATTGAAGTAAAAACTTTTATATCTTTGATAAAGTTTGTATAATAAGTACATAGAAACACCATAGATTATTATTATTTTTTTAATTCATTGACATATTAAAAATATAATATATTAGTTATAATCTAAAGAATGTCTAAAAAACTTTGGAATTTTTTATCTTTCGGAGCTAAGAAGTTTTTGTTGTTGTTTATATCTTTGTAAGAAGAAAGAAAAAAATTATAATTTTGAATATCATCAAAATGTAGTATTCAATATATAATATTCTACTCTTATTTCAAAAATCTATACATAAATCCAAATAAAATCTTAAGATGATGTGATTAGTTTTTAAACTTTATCTTTATAAATTTTGTGTATTTTTTAGTTGTTAGAGCAATTTCTCTCAAAATTAAAAATTACAATCATTAATAATTGATTTGAAAAAAGTGGTATTATTCTCTTATCACTTTTTTTATTGAAGATAATCTCTAAGTTATGTGTTAAAATTATAAAATCAATAAAGATGGTTAAAAGTAAAATTATAATATTATTGTTAAATCTTATGACAAGAAAGTAGAAATTTTAAGCATTGAAGATGATTAAGGACAACACCTAATTTATGAACAAAATAATTGGAAGAACTAAATAATTACAAAATTCTATTGGATATTAAGTAATTATTAATAAAATTGAAGTGATGATTAGGTTCTAACTTTGTACATATGTTAAGTGATGATATTAATTTTATTTTTTTATATTTGGTGGCAACATTATAAGCACTTGATATATTTATGAAGATATAGATTTTTCTTAAAACTTTTTAAGTATAATTAAAATTAAGATTTAAAATTATCATTAGATGTTTCTATACTAGACTAAATTATCAACATCATATATTTCATTATTCTTAGAACACTAATGATCATTACATTTAGAATATTATAAATACTTATTATATTATAAATTTTATTAATTAACCTCTAAAATATTTTGAGTCTAAATATATATATATATATATATATATATATATTAATTGTTTTAATAATCAATTCTTCAAAAAATAATAATCTTTGATATTTAATTAAAGTTATGAGAATCAATTCTATTATATGATTTATAATTAATAATATTTTATTTCTAATACCTAATTTTTTTTCATTTGTTTTCATTTCTTAATGGAGGTAATTAACAAAGACCATGTGGTTAGAAGGCTATGGACAACCAAGGTTGAAACAAGTAGATTAGATTGTAGGGCCTTGATAATAACAATTTTTATCCTTCAACATGCCATATTTGATAATTAATAATCACAATATATATATACATATATATATATATATATATATGTATGTATGTATGTATGTATATATATATATATATATATATATATATAGTAAGTTGACTAAATTAAATTAGAAGTAGTTCTATAACATAAATTGTTTATAGACTTATAGGAATTTGGTGTAATTTTTTTGATGCAAAAATAACTATAATTAAAATTTTCTCTTTGATCTTTATACTTTTATTAATCAAAAAAAAAAAAAAAAACAAAACATTCACACAGAAGAACCAATTAAGAGATGATAAAAAATTTCAAAAAATAAAATAAAAATGATGTAAATTCATGAGTTTAAAATAATTAATAATTTCATGATTTTTGTAGATTAACTTCAGATCAACAGGAACATTTTGAAACCTAGTATAAAAAAAAGAGAATAGAAAGTGTGGGCATCAAGGCCTTCCTACATTCAAAGTGAGTGTATTGAAGGAATCACAACTGCTTCTCTCAAAAAGGACTCCGAGTTGAATGGAATCAAAAAAGTGAAAGCTATCGTGACGAAAAAGTGAACGTGTCTTGTCAAAGGATATGTCTCCCGGCAAGGTGGGCGTTCGAGGCGAGACTCCCAGCATGAGAGCGAGGATGAAAGTATTTGCATCCAAAAGTCGGATGAATATGAATGGTTTCCGAAGGGGAGGACCAGCCTTATCCCCTTGGAAAACCCTAGGACCGACCTTATCCTGTGCTCCAGGGCTTGGGGTTTGGGATTTTGGGATTGCGAGAGTGAGAGCTCGGGTTTTGGGACCAGTCTCACCGAGCTCGGGTTCAGTTGCGGATCTCGCAACGAACTCAGAGAATTCTGCGCTTTTCAAGGGAGTAGAACCGATTGGTGAATGGCGAACAGCAGTCCGAGCCGGATTCTACCTTGAGTGAGACCGTTTGGGGTGAAATAATTGAAGAATTGTGCTTGAGTGCTTAGGATTGTGAATCGTCTGGCCCAGTCAGTAGATTTCCACTCGTAATTCGTGATTCGGATAATTGAGGGTTTTCTGAAACTGCGGTAGGCCTTGAATGTGTGGATTTCTCCTGCTTTGGTCGGGAATTCTCTAAAGTGCCGAAGCTGAATCTGTTTTGGAGAATATTGGTTCAGCTTCTTCATTCTTAAATTTCTTAGAATTTTTTTTATTGATTTTGAGTTTTGGAAGCTAGTTCGAATCATGAGGTGGTGTAGGATGTGACTTGGCTGATCCAGGTGAAATTTTGAGTTTGCTCGAGAAGAGTGTGAGAATACAATGGCGCTAGCAGTGAACCCATGCATTGGGGCGTACGTGTTACCGTCATTCCCTGACCTAGATCAAGTTTCAGCGCATCTCGGAGGTGGTATTGCTACGCAATCTTCCGGGGGCTTGCAGAGATGTGGGAAATTACATGGGTCTCTGTCAGGTCGGAACAAGCTAGCAGTGACGACGGAGGAAGGGAAAGAAATATGGAGGGGAAAACTTCTGCCAGGAGTGACGCATGCCTCATCAAGCGGGACTCGCCGGGGTACAAGTCGCTCGCCTCCTCGTGAGAGTCCGGAAATGATGAAGGGAAAGTACAGTTATGACGTGGAAAATGCCATCAACAATCTGACGTCGCTTGCTCCGCGAGGAAGCATCGCTAAGACTATGGAGGGGTACAGAAATAAGCTCACAATCAATGATTTTTCTCTCATTTTCAGAGAATTCGCCCAGCGCAGCGACTGGCAGAAAGCGCTTCGTTTGTTTAAGTATATGCAGAGGCACCAATGGTGTAAGCCTAACGAGCATGTCTATACAATTATGATAGGTAAGATAGAGTGTATATTAGCCTTGCAGCTAAACCTTGCAATGCTGCAGAATTTTTAAATCGTTAATTGTTTTGTTTTAAAATTACATTTAAAAAAATTCTCTCCGAGCTGGAACGGTTCATTTTGAACATCATGTTCGCAGGTCTTCGAAACGAATTTGATTCTGGCTATCTGCAAATCATTAATCTGCTGCATTTACAGGAATCATGGGTCGAGAAGGAATGCTGGACAAAGCCTCGGAGCTTTTTGAAGATATGCCACTCAACGACGTGGAATGGAACGTCTACTCATTCACAGCTCTTATTAATGCGTATGGGCGCAATGGCCAACACGAAGCATCGCTCCATTTGTTAGCCCGGATGAAACGAGAGAAAGTTACACCCAATCTAATAACGTATAACACTGTCATCAACGCATGTGCAAAAGGGGGTCTTGAGTGGGAGGGTCTTTTAGGACTGTTTGCGCAGATGCGGCACGAAGGTATTCAACCTGATATCATCACCTACAATACGCTATTGAGCGCCTGCAGCAGGTTGGTGGACTTCCATGCAACATGATCACAGTATCACAATCACATTCTCTTTCTAAATTGCTGTTAAGCTGACTTATTTTTATGTTACACCACGTTTTTAGATTTAGAATTAATATCTGTGCAGCTGTGGTTCTTGAATGACTTGTCAGTCTGTGGAATAGGTTGTAGAGTAATAGTGCATAATTGTTCAGCTGATTGGAGCAAAATTTGCAATATTTGGCAGTCGGGGTCTTGTAGAGGAAGCTGGCATGGTGTTTCGCACCATGAACGAAGCAGGTGTGGTACCAGACTCTATCACGTACAACGCCTTGGTTGATATATATGGGCAGGCAGATCGGCATGAAGGCGTAGGTGAGTTATTGCGGGAGATGGAACAGGCTGGTAACGCACCCGATGTAGTGGCATACAACATTTTGATCGAAGCTTATGGTAGGGCTGGGAAGTACCGAGCAGCTGCAAAAATGTTTAAACAGATGCAGGAGGCTGGATGCACCCCAGACGTGGTGACATTTAGCACTCTTCTTGAGGCTTATGGCAAGCATGGTTGTTACGATGAAGTGCGGCTTCTATTTACAGACATGAAAGAGAGAGGTACTGAACCTGATGTTAACACCTATAATACACTTATTCAAGTATTTGGGCAAGGCGGGTTTTTCCAAGAATCTATCAACCTTTTCTGGGATTTACTGGTACGTGTTCTTTCATTTTATTTCTTCTGTTTGGCAATAAAGCTGTTTCTTTTTGGTTATTTTGATGAGAAGAGCGCTGACTTGGAAGCTTGGTCCTATTTAATTGTATTTTTCTCATAATGTCTGTTCTTTGAATCAAACGTAGGTTTCGTTAGGTGCTTTTTAATTGAGTTCTCAATTTCCTAGGATTGTCATGAAGATCTTAAGACTTATATTAATGCATTGCAGGATGGGGGCGTGGAGCCGGACATGTCAACATATGCTGGCCTCCTTTACTCTTGTGGAAAAGGAGGACTTCATAAGGCGGCTAAAAAAATACATCGTCACATGCTGCAAAGCTACGTGACGCCAACTACGGATGGCTTTACTGGTAAGAATAATGTTCGGTTTACGTTCCACGCACCTAACATTCATTCTTGGATGAAGCTGACGAGTGTCAACGTCTGATGAATGTGGGTTGTTTTTCTTTTTTCTTTTTTCTGTCTGAACAGGTCTAATTACAGCTTACGGAAATGCCGCTCTTTATTCAGAAGCCACGTATGCTTTTAACAGCATGAAGGAGAGTGGTTGCAAACCCGACCTGGAAACCTACAACGCCTTGATCGGGGCACATGCAGGTCCTTTAAGAGAGCTTTTTGGAGATGACATTTGATCCACCAAATAAAAATTAAACAAATTCAGAAGAAGAAGACAGAATCTAAGAACATAGAATGAAAACCTTCTTCTCATATTATTCAATCTTGTTTTCTTTCATTATAGTTGATACGTTACTGATACATATAAACATGCAGGATGTTTTTTACGTATCTAGTGCACAACGGTGTTTCATTCTATTTTTTAAAGTTTGTGGTACACATTTCATTTGGACCTTAAAAATAAGAATATTTAGAATTCTAACATGAGAAACTATTTAATCTTAAAGCAAGGTAGTGTATGGCGGGATGTGCTATTTTGTTTATAAGATGGTATATGCACGTTTTTAAACCCTTGAATTTCCTCACCAGCGCAAGTCACGTGCTTTACAGGTGGAGGTTTGTACTGTGAAGCTGGCAGTGCCTATTTAACTATGATTGATGAAGGCATCTCAGCAGATGTATCTACATACAATTCACTTATCGAAGCATTTGGTCGTGGAGGTCTTTTCGACGATGCCATAGAGTTCAGTCGAGATATGGAAGAGGCTCGCTGTTCACCCAACAGACATACTTATGAGGCTTTGATGGGTGTCTACTGCACAGCTGGATTGTTCGATGAAGCGAAAGCTCAATTTCTGGATCTTCAAGTCGGGGGTGAATTGCCTAGTGTTGACTCATATTGCCTTCTGTTGTCGGTCTGTGCACGCCGTAACAGGTATACGATCAATTTTTCTTGGTGTTAATTGAAATTTCAATCACGCGTATTCTACGTAGTGGATAGAGCTGAGTCACTGATTTTCCTCTAAGTGGTGAAGTTGTTCTCGCAGGAATTAGATGGCTATTTGAACCTCAGATTCTTGGGTCTAGAAAAAGGCAACTTATAGAGTTGTACTTATTACGTCCCCTTCTTCAATCATATACTTGTTGGGTAGGATAGTACTCGGATAGGGCTAGTCACAGCAAAATGTAATGATTCACTAACGGTCTTGTAATGTTGGCACTGTTTGCTTGTCAGGTGGGATGATGCGAGCAAGGTTCTGGAGGAAATGCTGGAACCGAACATGCCAAGTATATATGGAGTGGTAGGAGGAATTCTTAAGGGTGAGATGGATGACGGTACTAACTGGCAAAGAGTAGAGTATGCCTTTGACGGTCTTAAAGTAGATGGTGTGGGTAGTAACTTGAGGTTCTATAATGCACTGCTGGAGGCACTTTGGTGCTTAGGACAACGAGAGAGAGCTTGCCGCGTCTTTGCCGAAGCACGAAAGCGAGGGGTGCTTGCAGAGGCTTTCTCCCGGTCAGACTTGATGTGGGCCATTGATGTACATAGGTTCGTTTCCTCGTTCCCATACATGTTATTGGTGCTTTTGGAATCGAACTTGTCAACTTGCGCGTATCGTAAATCGTATCTTGGAATTTGGTTTATATTCAGGTATAAAACGCAACAGGTAGCTGTCGATAATGTTAAGTACACGAATTTTTCTTTTTTGGAATCCTTTTTAATGCAGTAGAACTAATTGTGGTGGCGCAATAGGTTTCGTTGTAGGGCAGGAGTGTTTATTTACGCATGGAGGATCATTGCATATGCCTAATAATTGAACGACCTTTGTGCATCTTACCAGGATGTCTGTGGGAGCTGCGATGACTACGCTGATCGTCTGGTTGGCGGACATGAAAGCTGAAATCGACAACAAGTCAACTTTCCCTCCTCTTTTGAGTATTGTTACAAAGTATTTTTGCCTCGCCACCTTGCCATCTGTTCGCAATTTGAGAGTTTTGTGAGAAAGTTAGATGCTCTACGTTTACTGAGTGTTTAGGGTATTTTATCGTTGTTTTCGTGTTTGCTACACTAATTTTATTTTTCCCTTGTAGTAGTTTTATGAAGGGTTAGGTTTAGACACAATATCCTAAGTTTTAATATTAATCATGGAGTTATTTTGGAGCAAGGTGTAAGGATTCGTATTGCAAGCGAAAGTAGATGCCTCTTAAAGATCTCGATCTCAAACAATTGTGAGCAAGCTCGTAATCAGTGGTTGGTTTTTGATGACATGCAGATGGGGTGACAAGGATCCTAACAGGGATTTGAAGAGTCTCCCCGCTGCGAGAGCCATTCTTGGTGGGCTCGCAGCGATAGGTGCGCCCTTTGACTTTGCAGAATGGAATGAAGGACGAATTATCACGTGGGCACCAGTACTCCAGAAGTGGTTAGCTGGAGCGCGACCAGAATTATTTTTCTCTCTCACCAACGAGCCTTTGTCAGCAAGCTTTTCTCGGAAGACCGCGAACAAGGCATCATACTCGGGAAGAAAAAGTCGGAGCCTCTCTTCAACTTCTTGAACTCTGTAATGTTCCTCACGCAGTTCAACTTTGCAAACAAGTTCCAAGCTTTCTAATTGTTTGGGACTCAGTTCAGCAGCTACTAGCAAGATTTTCACGTCCTCATGTTACGAACAAGATGGACTTGTGTGAGATAGTCATTTAATAGAAAATCTAGACCCTCCAATTCTCTGTCCTGATTCTATTAAAATTCAGTCCCAAAGAATTGGAACAGGATTGGAGACTGCTGACAGACCTTGTTGACGGGAAAGGTGAGCCTGTAAGCTCGACTATGCGCTGATGGATGTACTTCGTTTAATTAAGTACATCACAGCTGCGTCTTGACTACTGAAACAAAACGATACCCTCATTCTTAATGAATCAGCTGATAATGGTGTGCCCTAATGACTGTGCACCTGACAAGAATAGAACTAGAGACTTCCATCGAAAATCCTTTCTGAGTATCTTAAACGTATGGTTGAAATTATGATGAGGGCTGGTTGTCAGCCGAGGACAACCAATGTTGAACACTGAATTTAATTGATGACAGTACTTGGTTTGTTCACCAGTAGAGTGAAACTTCAAATTTATGCTCGTGTATGTGTCACCAGTATTAGGCATAGGTTTTGCTTCTGTCGTTTGTGTTCTGGTTTTACAATCTTGTGTTCTCATTTATTTTGGAATTCCAAGAGCATTGTCTTGAGCCCTAAAGGTTGAAGGTTTAACCACCATATAAGCCCTGTCAATCATATTGGGATTTGATGGGAGAAAGTTAGGGGAATGTTAAGTAGATCCACATTTTTTTACTAAATTGAACCACCCATCATCACAAATTGGCACATTGATTGTTCAGCTCCTCATCATCACCATTATTCATTGGATTGATAGAATCAAGATTTATTTAAAATGTAGTAAGTACAATCATGAAGATATGACCAGTAACAATTGTTCTCAACATCTACAATTAATGGTTACTTTGCCTGGTTATGTTAATTTTCTTATATACTCAATTTTCTTCCTTCTCATCCTCCCCTATAATGTTACAATTTTTTTGATAATGGTCTAATATTTAGAGAGGAGAGAGAATTTTGTATTCTAAGGTTATTTGCATTTTGAAATAGAAAAAAGAGGTGCACATGTCTCCTACGCCAGAGGGATATTTTGAATATTTTAAAGTCATGAAAGAAAATATAGGTAGGTTTGCATATACTTAAAGATTTATTGATTGCAAACAATGCTCTAACAAGTATCACATAGATTTGAAATTTAATAAAGGAAGAATTTATTGTAAGCAAAATAACTTCATTTGTCAATGGAATACTCCAACTCAATTGATTGGATGTCCATTTGAGTTGCATGCATGTTGTTTACAAGGTAGTGTACAATATTACTTGATAATACAAAATGGTCTCTATAATTACAAACCTTTAGCTTTTCTTATATGACATTTATTTGCTCAACAACTACAATTAATAGAGAAAGAGATTGCATAGATGCTTGCTACAACAATGGTGTCAAAAAATGTTGTGATTGCCCAATATAAAAGAGATCTTAGCAGCAAAGTTATTGCTTATACCATTTACAATGGGTGACAATGATTGCATTTTATTGTACTTTTTAGTTGATTACCCATTGTTTGCATTATAAAAACTTTATAGGTCTTTGGTTATCACTTAACTTATTAATGTAATGAAGAGAAGAAGATAACTTCTTTTTTCTTTGCACATTTTAAATGTGTTCAACTTGCAAAAAAATATTTATATTCAATTATTATGGATTGTACATATAAAACAAATTGGTATAGAATATCTATATTGCATATTGTGGGAATGATTACTTATAATACATCTTTTCTCGTTGCAGTTGCTTTTCTTTAAGAAAAAACATAGCCTTTTTTTTGTTTAAAATTATCCCAACTTGTTCAATTATATGGAGATATTTGATTCATTTGCATTAGTGCTGATTAAGATTTGGTACTAATAAATGCCTTTGAAAGTGTCTATCTCACTTTAGTTATCTTAATCTGCATTTGGTACATTCAAAAAACTCTATTATTAAATTGTAAGAAATTTTTTCAACCAAATTGGAAGTAAGGTGGTCATTATTCCTTGCGGATTGGACCAATGTGATGAATGCTTCTTTCAAAGAGATTTATAACATAGAATGGTCCAATCTTTGCAAAAAATATTCTTCCACAATTATACATGTGGCTTTTGATTATTTAAAAATACATGGATATTACATAAGAAATAGTTTTTTAAAGCTTAAATAAATAATTGTCTTTTCTTCAAGTGTATTACTACATGACAAGTCAAGGGTCAAGATTTGGCATTGAAATCATATTTATAATTGTCTATCAAAGTTCTTTGACAAGTTCAAATTTTTCTTTCATTGTTTTGAGAATATAAGGAATTAAAATCAAGGCACAAAACAATTTGGAACAAATTCGTGTATGTCATCAACATAATATTAGTATTTTCACAAATTTTATAAAACATATCTCTATATATGCTCTAAACATTGTTTTTGGGAAACTCAAATTTACAAAATCATTGCTAGATATTAACAATTTATATTATACAAGGACATTGAAAAATATATTAAGTCTTCGATATAAACATTGAATCCAAAGTTTTTTAAGAAATGGTAGCATATTGAAAATTGATGATTTTTATCCTCAATATTATTTGGTGAATAAATTAAATTAATAGCTATAATATCATTGTAGAATCAATTTTTTACTTCCAAAGATCTTGGCCCTTTCTTTAATGCAATTAGTTGTACATATAATTTATTATCTTTTTACCAATAAGAAAAAATTTGTGATGAATTGTTAGAACTTACATCATTAACCATGAAATTAGAAAATTCAACAGTTAGTTATCTAAAGGATAAGCCTCACTAAGCAATAAATTAGTTAAGACTATTTGGTGCACATTCAAAAGCATCTATCTAATGTTTTGTTTGATAATTTGAAATTATTGATGAAACAACAAATGTACAATTTTACAAAAAGTGCAAAGACTATAAACATAATATTTGCACCTATTCTACTAGATTTATTTTTATTTTTATTTTTATAATTATCTATAAGTAGATTATACATACAATTAAATTTATAGTTTAGTCTATCAAAATGGTATATATATAACTATGTCATTGACGTGTTATTCTAAAAATATAATTTAAATAATTATTTAGTTTTTAATACTAATAAATAAAGTAGTTTGTAGTGCTAATATGTCAAGTAAGTAAAATAAATTAATAAGATACTACTATTTGTACTGAAAAGTTATGCTTCTACTTTCTATCAATAATGAATAAGTTATCAATAGACTATGTTTGTATGAGGGATTTGTTGATGGACTAATATTAAGTATGGCTACAAAAGTGAATGAAGTAGGTATACTACACGAAGTAACTTATCCAATTTTTGTTGTCATATTACATGTTTTCTTGCTTGAAAATGCATTAGGCATCTAGCTGTAGAAGGTAAACAGAAAGACAACAACAATCCTACGAAGTCTAATAGAATCTTAAATAAAATTTAAATAAATCTTAATAATCCTAATCAAACTTTGATCAATTTAAAATAAATTTAAAAGAGGTTACAAAAGCAATATAAAGAATTCCTAAACTAATCTCAAAGTAAAAGAATAAGAAATCTTAAAGAAATATAAAAATAAACCTTAAATAAAATAAAAATAATCTTAAAAAAATATTAGAAATAGAAAATTAAAAAAAAAACAAATAGAATCTTAAAGAAATACTAAAAATAAAAACTTGAATTGAATCTTAACCAATTCCTAGGTCAAATCCTAATTGAAACCTTAATTGAACCTTAATCAAATCCTATATCAAATCCTAATGAAATCCTAAATAAATCCTAGACAAATCCTATTCAATCCCTAGTCAAGTTCTAAACTAAATCCTAAGCAAATCCTAGTCCTAATCAAATATTAAACCAAATACTAAGCCATAATCAAACCATAGACAAATCCTAAATCAAATCTTATAGCAAAATGGAATATCAACAACTAATGATCAAACCATTTATATTAATTCAAAATTTTTACACTTATTAATGTCTTATTTAGGAATAAGTACAAGAAAGATGAAAATGATTGCACTTATCAATTGAGAGAAATGTAAGATAATCCAATCAATTGTTGGATGGCCTACTACTATAACCTAAATGCTAAACTTCCAACACCAACACTTCCTTCTTAAATTATTGAACTGCTCTCAAATTTTACTTAAACATTGGAAATTGAGTTTAGTATTTTAAAAAAAAAAAATCACTTTGATCCAATTGACAAATCATTGAAGAACTTAAAAATACTTACTAATCTTCAAATTCCAATTTTTGAGATCTCAACCGACAAAAACCATCACATACTTCAATCTAACTATTTGATTGATTTCAAAATTTGCATACATATTTATAAAAAGTACACAAAAATACTACCCAAAATTCACTTATATATACACCATAGAACTTAAGAAATCCTCAAATTTGTAAACATATTTTTATTTTTCGAAATCTAAACCAATTGAGAACTTTACTAACTTTAAAAATCCCTCAAAAATTCAATATTGATTTGATTGATATAAAACCAATACTTAAAAATTTCCTCTCAAGTCTGCTCTCATATTCTACTTTTTAATCTACCAAAGAATCCCAAAGTTGTTAAAAAGGATAGGTTTATGCCTTGGGATCTGATTTTGATCCAAGTTGACAATCAATCCTCTCTAGATATCAATTTTTGATAATTCTAGGTAAGTTTTGCTTTATCATATTATTAATTCTCTTCTAAAAATGCCTATATTAATTTCTTATCTCATTTACTTTGATTTGGCTCATTTATGCCTTTACAAAGTAAATAGAAGTTTCTTCTATAAAAAGATAGTATTAAGACTAAATCTTTTATTATCTTTCTATCATTTATTTTTATTTTTCTACTACATCTTTCTATTAGGCTCTTCTATAATAACATCCATATTTTTATTTTTTACAATATAGTTATGTGACCACATGACACTATCATCTCTCTACAAATGAAAACAACTAAAAAGTAGAATCAAAATAATTAAAAATTGAAACATGTATTTTGGTGCTTGGCTTCAATAAATTTTTTCTTGTCATCCACTTCAACTTCATCATACAATAGAGCATTGCCAATGTATGAAGAGGATCAATAGTGTACTATAAATCAAAAATAAAATTTATTTGTAACTTTATAATTCTTTGAAACAAGCATAAAATAAATATTCTAATGCTAGTAATATTAATATTATCATTATATTATTAAAATATTAATCACAATTCTTGACATAATATAAATATCATTGGCACAATTTGTTTTTGTTTTTTTTTAAATTTTTTTCTTGAGATTACAATCCAGATGGTTTTTTGTGAGGACATTTTTTTAGAGCTTCATAAAATATTTTGATATGATAGGTCACAATTGAATCAAAAGTTTAAAATTATAGTAATATTTTTGAGAGCTAAAGAGATTTAAAACATAAGATCTTAAATTTTGTTTATAATAAAAGCAGATCTTACATATAAATTGGCTTTTTGACTTTT